CAGCTCGAAACATGGATCTTCAAATCCCCAACCCACTGAACCAAGCCCAACCTACTTTTCAAGGAAGTATAAATATACAGAAACTCCCAGGAAAGTATATCAGTAGTGTCGATATACGTGCAAGATACTAAAGCTTTGTGTGTCACGCGAATATACGAGAATAAAAATTATAGGTTACTATAAGTGAATAAAATCGATAGTTGAAGAACTTGTTGGCGAACAATATATTGTGCGTTAGACCATTCAAAGGTGTGTAGGACTTGACAGTTGAAATAATTAAAAAACGTTCCGTTTGGCGGACATTTTAATAAGGATGTGACAAACTTTGAAACAACACTATGTATCACGTTTGCTATAAATTCTCAATGACTTCACCACCTCTAGTGTAGCTGCATGTGAACAAGCGTCATCTACGCAGTGTGTTTTCAATTCGTGTATGTACTTTTAAAAGGAATAGATACGTAAACTGTATGTCACCCCCTCATAATGGTTAGAGCTGTTTAGCTTCGTGCAAAATTTGTCAGTACCACGACTTTATAAATGATCTCAATTTTGTGGAAGGATGAAAGCCCCTTCACGCAGTATCAAGGCAATGGGTGAATACGGAACTTCAAACGTGCAGGTGTTGTAAAGGGTTATAGAGAACTGTAGTTGTGTGAGCTGCTCCTCCACAGTTGGCCCTACTCGTAAAGTGATTACACGTCTAACCGTCCATAATTATCAATAATTTGTAAATGGAAAAATTCGAAGGAGCTATGATGACGGTTTTGTTCAGCAGACAAATATGTTGTTCCAATAAGACAGTTATGGGTGCTTAAGCCTTAACCTACAATAGTTATCGAAGTGTTTGGAGGAGTTAATTTAAAATGACATACCACAGCTTTCCAGTAACGCTAATTGGCCGAGGATTTGGTGCAAAAATGAAGACACATTACATCAAACACTTTTCTAAACATATTTTATGGCTGACCTCCCCCTCCCCACACACACACATTAGATGACCAAATGCTCAAGTACTTTGAGTAGGGCAGTATATAAATGTATCCAACTACTAATCAATGTTTCTCAAAATTATATATCAGTAGCAGGAAATATATTACCCACTATGGTTATTTATAATGCTAGTTGAAACTAGATAGTCCAATAAGATGTTATAGCTACCAACTGCTTGAGTATCCTTATTTATTAACAAGAAGCTTATATAATGTGAAGTAATATAAGATTTATAGAAAACTTTCCAGAGCCCTTAATTTTTACCACCTATTTCATTATGTGACATTTTGAAATTGTCCTTGCTGTATACTCACACCTATAAGTATATATGCGTACCTGACTGTGCGACAAGTTTCATTTGAATATTTGTATTTATGGCAAAGTTACTGAGGCTATCCGCCACCGTCCTTAATTTTGAACAACTGACCAGAGAGAAAAAAGCCCGTCAGTAGCACTTTATCACACACCATCCAAGTTAAGGGGTTGACTATTAATCTTATAACGCACCCATAACGTTAGTGCACGGAATATTTTATGGTATCCCACTGATTCGAGCCCGGCGATTAATCTATTCTGCGATCATTAATCTCCGTGTCTTGACAATATCATACAGTTATACTAGAAGACACGAATAACAAGATTCAAGGACAATATCATA